TTCAAAGAGCAGACATCCCCTAAACGAAACGTGTGACATATAATATACCCTCCTCTCTTTGGATTCAGATGTGATTTGGGTGTCAGTGTTCCATAATCCATATTGCCTTATGTTTACTATTTCTAGAACACCTGGTACCACTTTGCTATTGGAACATCTGTACATGAACTCGAGAGACTGTATTTATAGGACTTGGGTTTGACTTAACTAGGATCGACGGTGTTTTATTCATGCACGTGCATTTTTAGTACAATGAGTAGTAATAATGCACATCCCGAAACTCCTGTAACATATGCCGAAATTCAAAGCTTTCACCCTGATGTCTGGATAGCTATATATATTTTTTTTATATATGAGGTAATTGATTGATTGAAGGTTGGTACATTGCTGTATATAGCAAGGTCATAGATCAAATTCACGTTTCGTAGGATTCCGTTAATTTTACAATCAATGAAAGTGCAGTTCAGATATTTAATTCAATTTGATACATTGGTGTATAGCACTTGTTTATAAAGTTCACACAGCTATATCCCTGTTTGGAATCTTTCTTGTATTACTGTTTGTCACTGAGATTACCTCTGATTGTTACGAGTGGAAGCTTTCGGTCATATGAAATGCAACCCCGTATCACCATATCATCATACAGCCGCCACTGAATAAAACCTGCCCTCGGAGGTTGCTCTGTACTTATGCCAAATCAAAGGCAACCCCGTATCATCATACAGCCGCCGTCGAATACAACCTGCTCTAGGACGTTTCTCGGTACATATGCCATATTCCTACATCGACATATCCGTATCTGCCATCCGTCACGAACAAGGGACAGCTACTCTCATCCGACCAGTGAATATTTTGCCATTTTCCAATGATGATGTGCTCGGCACCACGCCCGTCGTATAGCCTTGGGTTACAGTGCCTGGAGAGGTCGTCTGATAGGTCTATTAGTTCCACATCCAACTGATTTTGGCCGATTATGAACAGTTCTGTATGATATGGGGCGGTGAGGAAACCGTTCGTTTTTCAACTTAGCGTTAAAGATGACGTACTGCGAAGTCCACCAGAACGTTGATGGTCCTCATTGACATCCCAACATTCCCCATTCGAACAGCCTGTCACCTTTACACTGTACTGAGTTGTCGAGATGCCATTTTGAGAGACAGAAAGAAAACACAGTGATTTTAAAACTTTCCTCAGTGCTATGGCTGTTTTCCCAAACGTGAACTGTTCGAAACTCATCGAGCGCAAACTCAAAAACTCTTTTTGCAATCTATCTACAAAGCGAGTGTTACAATTAGTACACAACACTTTATAAGGAAATAATTAGTTGTTACCCAAAATGAATGATATATTGGGTAGTTATTTCGCGATTAAATGAGCTAAATCGCTATTCTTGGCACCTAGAAATGGACACACATGGGTCGCAACGCATATAATAATGTAATATGAATACATATAAACTGATTTACTGTCAATCGTTTATGTTTTACTCTAATTTCTAATCAGTTATGTTTGGCGAAGGGTCTAAAATGAATGGCAGTATTTGGTGTCTGGTTATTCCAGTCTACACCGGTAGTATTCGACTGTGGATGATATTGAGTTAGAGATACATTGCATTTTGCTTAGATGTTTTACCTTTTGTATGCAACTTATCTAAAATCGTTCGGATAACGAGTCGAAACAGCTGAACGTTTTGGCATGCAAATTACCTAAGTAAGTCAATATATGTGTGTTCTTATCCGTATTTCAGTTTGCTTCACTAGGTCACAACCAGACTCACGTTACATTGACTGATAAAGAGAGGTGCCGTTTGGACCGACAAAGGCGCCTGCATGTTTATATTATTCATGTATATTTGCACGCGGAACACTGCATGTTAAGTGTACTTATGACTTACAGATAACTTACCAAAATTGATAAGCTTATTACATTACGTTGATAACAAAATGTTTCCGTGTTAACAACGAAAATATCATTGATAACGGTAGTTTGTTTAAAAATACTCAAACATTTTAATCATTACAATACGGGGTAAAAGAGAAATTTGGCTCTAAATAAATTAAATCTTTTGCAATGTGTTGCCAATGGCATACAAAGAAATTTACGTTTTTCCCAGCCAGGTCCTTCGTCAAGCACCATAGACAAAGGAAATTAGGTTGGAACTTTACCGATCAACACCAGGATAACACGGGGCCGCCTGGTTTCCGAGTGTGTGTCATACGCAGCAAGCCACCGTGGATTCTGGGATGACAAAACGGAATGTTATGTGTGTTTTTATCCATATTTCAGTTTGCGACACTATTTCACATCTGTCCAGCATTTAAACAAACATTTAAGCGAATGTAACAAATGCCAACATGAAAGGGATGCAAATTTTAGTATTAAATAATATAGCTTAGAGCGTAAATTAGTTCTCAGGCTCTGTGATAAGTTCCCAAACTCTGAGCGGGAAATAATTTGTATTTTTTTACGTATGGGCTTACAAGTATAACAAGCATTTCTGTATAAAGTTTTATTAAAAGGGGTTCCTACAGTACTCAGAAATAAAAGAAAGAAGGCTAGTTTAGTATTGAATGTAAATCCATCAATGGGAAATGGGTATGCAAGAGGTTCTAGTAATCTATAAATTATTTAAAATAATATTACCATTTATTTCTATATTTTTCCCGACATATTTCTATCTCCAGTTTAGCATTTTCTATTAAGAGGGGTTCATATTTATTTATATTTAGTGTTTCATATCGTAATTTAGTCCGATGTATATAAAACTTAGTTAAAATAATTACAATTTTCAACTTTCAACTTTTATATTTGCATATTATGTCCATTAAGAACAGTGTACAAAACATACACATACATCAATAAACATGTATAGAAACATAATAAACAATAATATATTGGAATAACATCATATGATAAATGAAGATCCAATCAGTGTTATTTATATAATAGGGTTTGTTAATGAGACCAAGATGTTTGACTTTGGTTATTATATTGACCTTTATATCAGTGTGATCTAGGATAGTATTAAAGTGTTTCCATAGTATTTGTATTCCATAAAATTTGTATTTCGGGTTTGTACATTTAGGCCGAGAAAGTTCGTCCAGATTTTCCGACGTGGTTCCCCCTTGTCAGTGATACAGGAAGGAGGGCCTGACAAGAACATCTGTCTAGCTGTTCGGATGGGACGAAAAGCAGAGTTCCCTTGTACACCTTGGCGTACACATAAAAGATCACTTGACAATTGGAATTCAATATAAGAGTAGGTCGTACTGTCGCTGTCCGGGCAAAATTTCCCTCATAGCACACTTTATGGCGTATGCCCGTCTTCATTAGCCCAGTTCGGAGCAGAACAGTAGGACGTTAAACCCCATTTCATTTCATTGGACATTTTGGAAACTAATTTGTTATAATATGCAATGAATGAATAATTATAACCAATTAAGATCTCAAAATGGATATTTATATTCAGGGTATTATGTTTGGATATTTGGGAATGTTTTGGGGGGGTGGGGGGGTGGAATTACATATTTGTACTAAAGATTGTCGTCGAAAAATGTATGTGCGAAAAGGTTAATAATCACTGCACAATTAATCACCAAGGTCCTTATCTATGGCATATCAGATTCAAAATTATAAATTTCTTAATGTCGTGCTTTCGTCTAACTCATTCATTCATTCATTGCATATTCATTCATTGCATATTATAACAAATTAGTTTCCAAAATTTCTAAATAAGGACAATGTATAATCTAACTTTATTTGGTTTAAACGGTATTTTATTCAGGAGAACATTAATATTTACAATTTATCATTTAAGAGAATATAAGTGAATAGGATGCAGTAACAAGCAAAACTGCTTATATAAAACTGTTTCCATAATTACGATCATTTCATATAATGACAACTATAAAGATATATATCTGTAAGATGTTGTGTGATTTAAACCAAAGGTGTGGATAAAATATGTAAGTTTGAATTTGGAAGTACGGAAGACGAAAATGATTATTTTAGAGGTGTAACATCACATCGTGATTCCAACTTTGAATCAATCATCAGTTACAAATGTATTTTTTCCGCGTTTTTAAATTTATTTCATGTTAATTCATATTTTTAAAGTGACAACATTTCACTTCGTTGTGGCTCTGTCGGATTGCCGAAATGACTTGCATAATGGGGATTATTCATGGTGTGTCATGGTCTTCTATATTTCTAAACAGAACGAGAGTTGTAATACATGACCAATTACAAAATAATTTCGAAGATTTCTTCAAAATTTCTGTTATACTAGGTCTTTGGACATTATTCAAACGCGGAATTAGTTCTGTACAGTGAGAACAGGGGTTGCAATAAAAGTTCATATATTTTGGAAATTTTCTTCAATTTATTTTGTTGTATTTTCGGTCCTTACTGGATAGATATGTTATTGTATTTTCAGTCCTTACTGGATAGAATTGTTGTTGTATTTTCAATCCTTACTGGATAGAATTGTTTTTTTTTTTATTATTTTCAGTCCTAATTACTGGATAGAATTGTTTTTTTTTTAAAATTATTTTCAGTCCTTACTGGATAGAATGGTTATATTTTATTTTGGACATTATTCTATTGGAAAATTATTGTACAGATGGAACATGAGTTGTAATAAAAGTTCCATCTATATATGAGCAATGTTAAAATAATTTCGAACTGTTCTTCAATTTTTTCCGATTTAATACGTATATGGACATTATTCTAATGAGGAAATTATTTCTGAACAAAATAAAGATAGGATGATCAATATTCCATTTTGAGCATTGTTAAAATAATTTTGAACTGTTCTCCAATTTATTTTCAGTCCGGATAGGATATTGTAAAAGAATTTCGATCCGTTGGATTTATTTTCAGCCCTTCTGGGTAGTATTGGTAATTAATCAAGTGACGACCAAGAAATGTCAGATTGTATGAGAACCGTCACCATAATTTCGAACCTTTCTTCATTTTATTTTGTTTTATTTTCAGTCCTTACTGGGTCGAATTGGTAAACAATCAAGCGGTGATCAAGAAATGTCACAGATTACTCGCGATCTGTTTGATAGTGTGGAGAGAGAAAACGATCTCACTGAACAGTTAAAATTTACTGAAGAAGAGACGAAGATGATGAGAAAGAAATTACACGAGTTGGAGGAGGAAAATGAGAGATTAAACGTCCAGTTAAAGAAACTATCGAAAGGTTCATCGAAAGGTTCATCGAAAGCCAGTAAAAAAGAAAGTTCTGATAAACCTAAAATCATCGTTACTGATCCCAGTAAGTTATGTCTTTGGTTTGTCTTCATATATGTTTCCCGATTTGTACTGGGAGCCACGGTGGCTAAGTGGGTAAGACGCTGGCTAGCTAGCCTGGAGGTTGCGGGTTCGCTCCCGGTGTTGGCTGAGGAAGTTCATGGGGATTTCCCGGCGTGATTTGCCATTGTTAGTGGTGCAGGACGGATGGCCTGACAAGGACAGATGTCTAGTCGTTCGAGTGGGACGAAAAACCGAGGTACCGTGTACACATTGGCATGCACGTAAAAGATCCTTATAGCGCTTTCGTCAGGGTAAAATTTAACTCATAGAACACTGAATGGCGTATGCCCGTCTTCATTAGCCCAATTTCATTACGATTTGTGTTGAAAGAAAGACGTTAAACATCATTCTATTTGTCAATATATCTTCACATTATTTCTCCTTGTCAGTTTTAAAGTAATTGTAGTTTATAAAGTTTATGCACGGGCCTGTGAAAGTTAGAAATTAATTTATTTAACTGACTGGAGGTGGCTCACTTTCCCCACTATCTTGGGGTCGATCCCGATGCTAGCCGACAAAGTTCCAATCTGTTTTCCCATTGTCAATATTGCAGGACGGGAGTCGTGGTAAAGCCAATGCTCAATGCGTCTAGTCGTCCCATTGGAACAACAAACCGAGGCCCACATGTATGTGTGCTCGTTGGCGTGCACGCAAAAGAACGTTTGACTGATTAGAGTGAAACGCATCTGTCCGATCAACATTTCCCTCGAAGCATACAATTGATTACATTGACGCTGGTGTAAACGGTATATGCCGTTGTAATTTGAATAAAGGAAAGTTGGGCTTCCATATACGGTTAAATGGGTATATACATTATAGAAATCAAAATTAGAATACTGAACCGATTGATGCTCCATATACGACTACACTGGAGTGGCATTGTCGTAAAAACTAATACATTTGGACAAACAGGTTGATCGTGCATATTGTCGTATAAAATGATAAATTAGGAATACTTATAACGAACGGTTGGTCTTCGTTATATGATTTATCTGGAAGTACCAAATAAATAATTGATTAAGAATTAGAACAGCGAACGGGTTGGTCTTCCACATACAATTTCACTGCTATTGATATACTTTTGTAAATTAGTTTAATGAGCCAAATGACCTTCCATATATTGTTATTGACGTACATGTTGTTCTATTTACAATAATTAGAATAACGAAAGGTTTGGTCTTCCATATACGATTTCACTAGTATTAACAAAGTTTTATAAATTAGAATAATGAGCTAAACACGACAAGGTTATTAAAGGAATTAGAACAAAAGGCTTGGTATTGACGTGCTTCTATAAATTAGAATAATGAGCCAAACTATCTCCCATATATTGTTGTTGTTCTGTTTACATGATAAGATTATTAAAGGAATGTGTTACTTGTTTACAAGTCTATAAAGAGGGAATTGGCTAGAATCTATATATAGAATACTATAACAATATGTGTTAATATAAGAGAGAGAGAGAGAAATGGGGTTTAACGTCCACTCGACACAAACTAGGTCATTTCGGGACTAACATATGGTTTAATTTTATTTCAATAATTCGCTTACGCATAGGGGTCATTAGCAGTGGGAGGAAACCGGAGAAAACCCACGAGGTTGGACAGGCGTGTTAATATAAACAGAGGAACATATTGTATATTGTATAAACATGAGTTATAGCACACAAGTCAGTTTGTTTATTAAATGTAATTTCGTTTATCCAATTTAACCAGTGACTGTAGAAAGCAAAGTCTTTTTTTTAACAATGAGTGCCTGCGGGGTTGGGTGTTTGAGGGGTCTAACGAGTGCGCGTTAGATCATGAGGTATGTCACCAGGTCATCTGGTGCGGTTTCGCACCACATGGTAGTACGTGATAAGTATCTCTAAAAGGAATATCATTATAAAAATAGTCCAATTTCGTACCGTATTTACAAAATAAATGATGCATTGAAGATTTGTCATCGTTCGGCATCCTCTGCACACGGAAATGGAACTGGAATTGGCTTTAACGTTGTACTGGTGTGCATGTGTGCTTGTTTCAAGTTATTTCGATGAAGACATGAGAAAGAAATATTATTATGTTCTGCACGAGGAGGTGATGGTCCAGAAAAGACCCCTCGCCTGAACATGCGCCTGAATTATCCATACTGTTCTTGGATTCAGAGAAAAATGATAAAGATACAGAATGAACTAATCGCTTGATGCAGCGTGAATTCCAAAATTTCTTGTATAAAAAAGGAATAATAAATAAAACCTCCCTTATGAATTAAAAGTAAATTATTTTTCAGGGTGGGCTTTTTTTTAATTCCTAAATGATGTGTGAAATTAGTCATTTATTCATTGATGAAGTATAACAAATGTGTTTGTCATATCATTTCGCTGTTTAAATACCGTAAATTACTTTAAAAATGTACATAGATAATTTAATTAAAACTGTAATACTATCAATCGTGAAGTAAAGAATGAAAGGGGGGTTTAACGTCCTACTGTTCTTCTCCGACTGGGCTAATGAAGACAAGCATACACCAAACAGTGTGCTATGAGCGATATTTTGCCCGGACAGCGTCGCAACGGTCTACTCTTATATCGAATTCTAACTGCCAATGGATCTTTTACATGCACGCCAATTGGTACGCGGGAACTCGGTTTTTCGTCCAATCCGAACAACTAGACAGCTGTACTTGTCAGGCATCGGTTCTGCACCACTGACAAGGGGAAGTCAGGCTTACCCACTTAGCCACCGTGGCTCCCCTCCTATCCATGCGATATAAACTGGATATGGTTAACAACTAGTGCCACTGGCAATCCTTCGCAATGATTTTTTGATGGGCCTCTTTTTAATACGTTGAATTCTAGCTGGGAGATTATCTACCGTTGATATTTTTGTTTTGTTTTCTTATACATATGTAAAGGGGATCACGGTGGCTAAGTGGGTAAGACGCTGGTTCGCTAGCCTGGGGGTCGGTTGTTCGATCCCTGCATTGGCCGAGAATGTTCATCCAGATTTTCCGGCGTGGTTTCCCCTTGTCAGTGATGCAGGACGGAGGGCCTGACAAGGACAGCTGTCTAGTCGTTCGGATGGGATGAAAAACCGAAGTCCCGTGTCATTATTGGAGTGCACGTAAAAGATCCCTTGACACTTGGAATTGGATATATGAATAGGCCGTAGTGCCGCTGTCCGGGCAAAATTTCCCTCATAGCACACTGTATGCCAGTCTTCATTAGCCCAGTTCGGACCAGTAGAACGTTGAACCCCATTTCATTTCATTTCATTTCATTTCATTTACAAATATTAAATAATCAGTATTAGATATTGTCTGATAAATACAAATCACGATCAGTGACTTTATATATTAACAAGGGCAGTAAGTTTCAACCAATTTAATCAATTATCTGTTTTCATAATTAAACGTGGAATAATCAATTTGAGTACAGATTAAGCCTAGATTGTCAGAAAACTGAACCTGACTTCCAGAGATGCTAACAAGAGAATTAAAGGGGCTAAATCGTTATTATTTGGGACCTAGAAATTGACAAAAATGGGTCGCAACGCATATAATAATGTAATATGAATGTATACAAACTGATTTATCACCCAATAATACATTCTACAGTAGATATCGCTTGTGTGATATATTTCATAATCTACTGCGATATCTCCTTTGATTGGTCAGTTGAAGGGGGACTACTTTTTTTTATTTTCAAAAAACAGTTCATTTCTTATTTAAAGTAACTTTTTTTTACTAAAAATGAACTATTGTTATTCAATTGACCTTGATGGAAACACTGGGTCAATATAAAGGACTTTGCAATGGTTGAATTGCTGTCAAAAAATGATGTATCACTACGCCATAATGTTCAGTAAAAGTTAAATCTACAGCAAAGAATTATATTTATCTATTTGTGCACGTAAGAAGGGATTGGGTGATAAATAAAATCTCATACTCGTCTTTTTTGATATCAAAAAAGACTGGTAGGAGATTCTCTATTTACATTCAATCGTTTCTGTTTTTACTGTAATTTCTAATCAGTTATGTTCGGCAAAATACGCCAGAAGTCTCATGTGAAAGGCAATCTTTAGCGTCTGGTTTATTGCGCATGCTCTCCGGATAAGAATATAGCGTCACCATTTGACGTTACTTGTGGAATATATCTAGCCCTGTTCTTTGAGTCCCTTGTTCCAAATGGCGCTGAAACGCATTACTGTACACGATTCGTGTACCAATGGTAAAATGTTTATTTTGTCTTGAATATTGGATATCAGAAGCCCATCTTTTCCCTGTAAGATCACAAGACCAATTTTGATTTGAACTGACAAATAATTCGTGTTTTCAATGTCGAAGATTTTTGATGATATTGAGACTTAGCTACTTTAAAAGAAGAAAATTAAATAATATTTAAAATTTGAATCAAATGACATATAATTAAATTAAAAATAAATTGTTTCTCATTGAATTTTATAAATTTGACTTAAATTGCCTATGATAGTGATTCTAGTATGGGTGACAACATTGAATAAGAAATTAGAGCTGGCCGTTCTCGCCATAGTATTTCAAAAATTGATAATGCAAAATGAATATATTGAAAATTTTATTCAAATTACTTTATTTTGAGAGAAGTTATCAATGGTTGCAGTTTTGACAAGATGTGTACATTGATCGTAACCACCGTACTGGTCATTCAAGTCTTAGCCTCGCTTCTCCATTTTTAAATTACAATCTAATCTACATAAAATCGAACTCATCCGATGGCATCGGGAGTAAATTATGGTCTTATCATGTTAATAAATGTCTATTTCATAATTCATATAACATTTAAGGCACATTTAAGACCTACAATAGACAGATTTAGCTCTTACATGATGCCTGTTTAAGAAAAACGAATTGATATTTAATGACTGAATGAAATGGTGTTTAAGGTCTTACATTTATGCATCTACCAGATCAGTGAAGACAGGCATATTATTATGTCATACAGTGTGCTGTGGGAGAAATTGAAACTGTCAAAGGTTTTTTTGCCTCCACGCCAACGTGTACGCTGGTCTCCGGTTTTCCGTCCCATCCGAACGACTAGGCACTATCCTTGCCAGGACCTCCATCCTGCATCACTGACACGGGGGAACACGCCGGAAAATACCGAGCAACATCGGGATCAAACTCGGTACACAGAAAACAAATACATCTAATATAATACATTACATAGTCAACAAATACATCTAATATAATATTACATAGAAACAAATACATCTAATATACATTACGCAGAAAACAAATACATCTAATATATCTAATATAATACATTAAATAGAAAACAAACACATCTAATTTATAATACATTACATAGACAACAAATACATCTTATATAATACATTACATAGACAACAAATACATCTAATATAATCCATTACATAGACAACAAATACATCTTATATAATACATTACATAGACAACAAATACATCTAATATAATCCATTACATAGACAACAAGTACATCTAATATATTATAAATGTGTACATGTACATACAAATAATACATAGATATGATACATGTATTGTTAAATTGAAAATGAATTGCCGTTTCTTATTTAATTGTTTTAAATTTGAATTACATTTCAGATGATAGTGATTCTAGTATGACAGATGATACTGACACAGAGGACGAATTAAATATCGTAGAAGTCAAACTACAACTTAGTTTACTGGAACAGGAACTGTCCGTGTCACATCGTAAAATCACCGACGTGGAACAGATCAATGAAAACTTACAAACCCAGATTAAGGTTTTAAATGAACAACTCGCCCACAGGGAACAATTGCTGAGCGTTGTTCCGACTCCACCCAGTCCTAATTCGTACTATCTTGACAAGATCAAAGAAATGACAATCGAATGCGACGATCTAAGGTGGAAGATCATAGAAAAAGATCGCGCGATTGAAAGATTGAGCACCCAAGCTCAAGCGAAAGCTCGTGAAGGGAAGTTAAAGAAAGCGCGATCTTTAGACAGCGAACCTCACATTGCGCAGATCGCTGATCTACGTAGACAAATTGATATAGTCTCGCACGAGGCGGAATTATTCAAAGATCGTCTGGCGAGTTCTAGTGCAGAAGCGGAGAAGTTGGCAGAAGAGAACGCGCGTCTTAGATTACTTCAGCGCGTGCCATCAATCCAAGCAGACGATGCTGCTATTGAGAACATAGAATTGCGAGATAAGGGTAAACGCTTAGAGGACGAAAACAAGAATTTACAGGAAAAAATCAAAGTTCTGACGGATAATTTACAAACTTTGACGCGGACTCCTCGTTCCCCGACAACAGAAAATCCTCCTTCGCCATCAATAGCAGACGGCATCTATGGGTCACGTGACCTCCAGAAACAACTTGAACGAATTTTGGAAGAAAACAAAAGTTTACGTGAAAAAATGGCAGACTTAAAACAACAACAAAGTACGGCTCAGGTGGACTCGAGCTCGAAAACTAAGGATGATTCTGCTATGGATAAAACTGTCGCCGCCGATACAACGGCGGCATCGGATTCTAGAGATCACTTAATGGAGACTATCCTCGACCTTGAAGACGAGATCGGTGAGTCCTTAACTTTTATAATTTTTAAAAAATTTTTTATATTTTTAGAAATTTGGATTAATAACTCTTTGGGCATGTGGAACTAATGTCGGTCATCCATATAACAAACTAAGCAACGTATGTTAAGGCATACATTTTTTTTATTATTTACATGTACATTAGGATAGGTCTACTAATTCTGATGAAATAGTTATAGGAAAGAAGTGTGTCTATTGACGCGGTGATTTAAATGGATGGATAGAATAATTTGATATGGGCAGAGAGGTCGGTCCTTTCTTGCCAAGGGTGGTGGTCCAGGGGGACTGACAAACAAAGGGTTTGGGCGGGAGGAATTGAAATATTGGTCTTATGTTGATAACCAATATGTCGATATAAACATGCCATAGTGGGTAAAGACAATTGCTACACGGCTTTTGACCAAAATCGCGATTGGGTCATTTCGGGACTAACATATGGTTCAAATGTATTTCAATAATTCACTTGTGCATAGGGGTCTTTGGCAATAGGGGGGGGGGGGACCCGGAGAAAACCTACGAGGTTGGTCAGACGACCCTACTCCTCGTCACGTAAAACAACGCCACTTGACTCCATGACAGATCTAGAGCCCAAGCGTTAGACCATTCGTTTTTGGTAAAGTATGAAACAAGATGAAAACAATTCCCACGTCCCCTTCCTGAACTTTATTGTATATCAGCATGGTGGCTAGGCGTTGCCAATGACAAATAGGAACTGGGAGTTAACATTCTAGAAGGTATTTTTTATGATCACCCAAGAATTCGAACCACCGAATATTTTCGCTGTACGTCCAGTGTCATAAGACAACACTACCACGGTCAACGCGACAGCACTTCCGTCACAAAGGGTTTTAACGTCAAACGGGTTAATGGATGCAGACAAACGAGGTGTTTTGTGGCGTACTCTTATTTCGATTTTCAACGATAAGGGGTTCCTTAAAGTGCTCTGAATGATTTCCCTTACCAGCCGAATGGTTAAGGCATGCACGGTGCATCAAAAAGTCTATCATTGAGTCAAGTGACGTGATTTCAATTCTCCGCTTGCACGTGACAAGGTGTAGGGTCGCCTGTCCAACGTCGAGGGTTTTCTCCGGGTCCTCCGGTTTCCCCCAACTGCTAAAGACCCCTACGCGCAAGCGAATTAATGAAATGAAATTGGATCACATGACGTAGTTTGTGTTGAGTGGACGTTAAACCCCATCTCTCTCTCTCTCTCTCTTTCTCTATCTCTCTCTCCTTACCAGTTACCAGTCTCTATAGGAGGATAACCCGGAAAATCTCGAGAAACGCTGTCGACAAACGCCCGAATCGAATGAGGGAGCCGCGCGGTGGCTAAGTGAGTAAGACGCTGGCTCGCTAGCCTGGAGGTCGCGGGTTCGCTCCCAGTGTTGGCCGAGAAGATTCATCTGGAGTTTTCGGCGTGGTTTCCCCTTTCCAGTGATGCAGGAGGGAGGGCCTGACAAGGGCAGCTGTCTAGTCCTTCGGATAGTACGAAAAACCGAGGTCCCGTGTACAAATTGGCGTGCACGTAAAAGATCCCTTTGTACTTGGAATTTGATTTTAGAGTAGACCGGGCAAAATTCCCTCATAACACACTTTATGGCGTATGCTCTTCTATATTATCCCAGTCGGAGCAGAACTATGGGACGTTAAAGCCCATTTCATTTCATCTATTGACCCGGCAGCAAGACCTCATGACTCCCGAATCGCACGGATATATAACTCTAAAAATGTATATTTGCATGCACATATGTTAAAATGATGAGAATTGCATAAATGAATAAACAAGATGAATACAATGTGGTTCTGTGGAATGGGGTTATCGCCATGTTGGATCAAAAAAATATTTGTTATTTGAGTATTACGAAACTAATCGAAAGCACAAAGGTATAAATCAAGCATGCGGTAATATAAATAACATGTGCTGTATAATGCACGTGTTTGTGTGTAGAAACGGGAAATTGATCAAAGGTTTGTTTGTTTGTTTATTCGTTCGGGTGTTAGTACAAAGAGACGATACATCATTTACACATCATTTATGACGTCAGTAAAATAAGCAGGTAGGACGATTCGAAAATATATTTAAGAAAAAATACGACTTGTTACGTGAACAAACATGTCTCGTGTGTTTGTTTTAATCGTAGCTAAAAGTAAAAAATTAAAGAGCAAACGCCTTTGTACGACAAACATGGTTGTTCTAATCATTATAGTTGAACTTATAAAAAGAGCAAACGCTTTTAAAAAACTAACGGTAACATTTATTTGAATTTCAGATAAACTGCTTAAAAATGATGCGATTTATGTGTTTCAAAATAGCGCGCAGACACTACTATAATATGTCACATATTTGCCCGTGTTGTCTTGCATGCTTGCTATATTAAGTCAGATATAAACACGATCTGCCACTGATCTTGCTATTTTACTGATTGGCATCCTATACTATTCTGCACAAACCCGGGCTAATGAAGACGGGCATACGCCACGCTAAGAGGGAAATTTTACTCGGGCGGTGGCGTATTCAACTGCTCTTCGTCATAATCCAACTTTCAGAGGAGCCACGGTGGCTCAGTGAGTAAGGCTTTTGCTCGCTAACCTGGAGGTCCCGAGTTCGATCCCTGCGTTGGCCGAGAAAGTTCATCTATTTTCCGGCGTGGTTCCTCCTTGTCAGTATTGCAGGACAACGTATAGTCGTACGGATGGGACCAAAAAGGGAGGTCCCGCGTACACATTGGTGTGTACGTAAAAGATCCCATGACGGTTGGAATTTGATATAAGAGTAGGCCTTAGTGCCGTTGTCCAGGCAAAATTTCCCTCATAGCACTATGTATGGCGTACGTCCATCTTCATTAGAACAGTAGGATTTTAAACCCCGTTTCATTTCATTTCTAACTTTCAGTAATTGTTCTTTTTCTTGGGAGCAAACTCGTACACTTAAAATAAGGCAATGCATATATATATATATAATGTGCATACTGCATAACATGAATTGAAAGGAATCGGGTTTTACGTTCTACTTTACTGTCTGCGCCATCTGGGCTAATGAATACGTACGGACATTAGCAATGCTGTGTGATATGACGGAAATTTTGCCTGGACAGCGATACTACGGCCATGTCTTTTTTCGAATTCCTACTGTCAAGGGTGCAATTACGTGCAAGCCAATGTGTATACTGGACCTCAGTTTTCGTTCCACCCGAACGACTAGACACTAATCCTTTATGGACCCTCGTTCCTGTACCACTGACATGGGGAAACTACGCCGGAAAAAATCCGAGTAACTTCTCCGGAAAATTCCGAGTAACTTTCTGGGTCAACACCTTGAACATACCCGGGACCTCCTGGTAAGCGAGGCAGCGGGTTACTCACTGTGCAACCGCAGTTCCATCTCTTGAAATTAATAAGGCAACCCGAGTATCAAAGTTTGTGTATATACAGATGTAAGGTGTATAGTAAAACATGAATTAAGATATAAATATTATATACCGTATCTCTTTTATCTATAAAACTGAACATAAAATACATGTTATATAGATAAGAGACTTCCAGTGTTGCCATTTACTGTTAAACCCCACTATGTCGAACTCCAAAGATCTACGGATTTTTGTTGAGAAAAACAAGGTTCGAGTAAAACATTCTAGTTTTGAGAACAAACTTGACAATATAAAACAGCTAAGTACAAGTAATCGCAGTGTTTCGTTTGATTAGAGCAAATCCCACTTAACACTGCTGTAAAGGAAGCAAATTTCTGTTCCAACTTATGAGTGGTCAATAGTCCGATTAACAACCAATAGCTAACCGCGTAACAGTATCATTACGCTTTAAACAGGGCTCCAAATTGGAACAAACATGTTTACATAACGATTTTATTAAGCCCAATTAACCAGTGCATAACAGTATATTGCAGAAAAACTAATTGCTTGACAAACGAGGCTCTCAAAACGAATACAATGTAAACAATACTCTTTGGTGACGAACAATACGTTCGCCGTAATACCATAAATCACTGTCCAAAATTTTATGGAAGACCCCATATTAAACGAAGGGCTGTCATGTTGCTGTACTTGGGATAGATTTGACTGCACCGAAAGAATACACACACCGCCTCAAAAGCTCAAGTATCAGAAGCCAATCCAGCAATGTCCAGAGAGGGATTTCTCGGGCCATTGCTTCAGGAATATGAGAAAAAGTAAGCAAATTGTACTTCATGTACGACACACGACAGTGCTTATAGCTTTGCTTATTCGGTCTATGGAAGTAATAGATCTGATGATCATTTTATGCTTTGTTTTTAACCAACAGCATAAGTTGAACAAATCTGGGTGGTAAATCCCATCACTGAACAAAAGGTAAAGTCCTTACTATGGTATGATAACAAAAAACATACCGAAACGATGTATTAAACATCACGAAATATAAATAATTTACGAACAAACTGGTGTAACATATCATACACTCGCTTTTTAGTTGAAGAAATGATCTAATTTGTGTTGAGTGTACGTTAAACCACATTCCCCCGCCCCCACCACTGCGCAAGAGTTGCAGTCCTTAATGTGGTATGATAAAAAGACACGAAAATATAACGAAACGAAGTATTATCGATTTGTGTTACTAAACATCATAGAATATAACTAATTTACGAACGAGCTGTTGTATTATATCATACATTCGTTAATTAGTTGAAGATATTTTCACTATGACAATATGTTTGTACGTAGAAATGTGCCTAATTAGGCTACCCACACCTTTGCTAACTCCATGCCTGTTTCGAATTAGTCGGGTATTTTCTCAAACCACGATAGAAGTCTTAGATGTTATAGTATACATTCAATAGTCATTATACCAATATTTGTAACTGTCGTTTGTCTGTCTGTCAGACCGGGGAGTAACATAGGCTAGGTAGCGTTGGCCTATGGCTTTCGGCTATCCGCTAGTAGTATTATAATAGTTAATTACTTTGAATATTAGCTTGATAACGTTGAGAGAATA